GCCACTGCGTTATAACATCCCCACAGGAGTGCGAATGAAGGCAGAGCATATACGTTGGGGCGAGTTTCAAGATCTGCAGATAAGCAGCGGACAGCTCGATCACAGCTTGCCAGAAAGGAGTGAGTGAATGCCCCTTCGGCAGACGTTTGTTAGGCCCCTCCGTTGGGGTCCGGGGATGAGTGACTAGGTTTGCAGCTCTCAGCGATCCTTCCATGCTCCGAGATGCGCAGCATTACTGCTTTGCGACTGCATTGCAACCGGATATATTTGGACCAGCGAAAGACGGAACTCTTTCTATTACGTTATACACCTGCTTTTGCCATTGGTATCCCAGAATGGAAGCTCTCGACCAACAAGCGATCCTCGTTGGTACACTACACTTATTTGCCTCATTTTTTATTTTCTTTACATCTCGGGTTTCCTAGCACAGTCTGTTGATGACGGTATAATTACGCGTATATTCGACAATGAGCTCCACGACATGATCAGGCGACATCGGGTTGCGGCTTCGGCTTCGGCGGTCGTTTTGTACGTTTTCATTTCTTTCCTCGGAGGCTCTAGTGTCTGGTTTCTTTTCTCCTTTCTGGGATCATCAAAGCATTGGCAATAGCGGGTGAAGGTGTAGGTTTCTTTTCCATGGGCACACACTTGCGCAAAAGAACGCTGTGATTAGCTGTAGCTTTGTTTGAAATTCCGAAATAAACAAGATTAATTCAAGCAATTCTCTGCCGTAACACCTGTCGATGCCTGTGTCTGAGAAGACTGAAAACACCCCACGCATACGATGACAACCCCCTCCAATCCTTGGATGTGTCGTCAAACAATGGGGATGTATGAGTGAGGTGTCTGACATGTGTCCAGCGGTGAGTCAGTATTCAGACGATGCCCCCTCTGAGTCTACTTCGAACTACGTATAATCATGACCTCACTGACACCGAGACTGTAGACAATGCGTAGGAACACATGATCATGCCCTTCCTAATTGGACCTTCACATGGGAATCAACCAGCCCCAAGTGCTGTCAAGCGTAACAGGCATCAGCGGGCGTCAGCAGGCGAACAGCTCAACGTCAACGGCCCCATTCATTCCCCTCTGTCAGGAACGCAGTTTGGGGGTGATGATGTCCCTCAGTTCCGCCTTACGATTACGAAGTAGACGAACGATGGTCACGACGGCGATGACGATGGGCACGTTCGCGTGAATGATAGGTTCCTAGACCTGAGAGCATTCGATTGTAATCATCACATGGAGCAATGAGAGTCGCATTGGAGCGGGTATCGAGAGAAAGTCCGAGGACTCTTCTTCCCCTCTAGGCCCCTTCTTCTCCTCTGCCTCGTAAAGGGCTCCATTGACCAAGGGAGATTGAAGTCTTTTTCAAAGTAGCTCGGAGGTAGCTCCTATTCGCTAGAGAGCCGCGGGTCGCTTATGTGACGGCCCAACAGGCCAGGCTGATGATGTATGGTCAATGGTACAGGCACACTAGCCAGGTTTCCCTCTACATTCATGTTTTGTTCGACGGCCGCAACGTGGCTGTAATGGCGCGGCGGTGGGGAGAAGGAAAGGACAAGCAAGTATCTGACGATTGTGACAGTCTCCGCCCTGCCTGTTGTACTGGAAGGGGGGTATCATCGAGCGGTCAAAGAGTCAAGGAGGGGTTCTGGGCCTTGCATCTTGTATCGGTACAAGCTTGACAAGTATCTTTCTTTCTCGAGGGCGTTGGAAACATCACCATCGTCGCTTGTTTCATCGTTTGGAAAGAAAATGGTAGGGCTGGCGAGAGGGGCGGCGAGATGATGGGATCATGGGGTAAAGGGGAAGGGGAGGGGGGCCATGGTTCGCTTGGACGAGAGCGAGGGCGTTCATCCGGTATCTCCATCATAGCAGGGACTAAAGATGTCTTCTTTTCACTCCCCGTCGAATAGGAAGGCAAGAATGGACAGGTTTCACCGGTCTAGACACACACCTTTCGTCTACTTTGTCAACTTTCTACTCATGGAATAAGGGGGGCCAAGAGGTGACGAGAGAATCGAACCAGGGCGAAGGCGTGAGGGATGTTGGTCTAGCTGCTCTGATTCGCCGTGTTCTCAATTTTCGTTCGCTCGGCCCTGCGCCCTGTGACTGAGTCCGTTTCGTTCTGGCGAGGGGATCGATATGAGGCACGATATCAGGCAAACGAGTCATCATGGAAAGGGGACGAATCATTGCACGTTCCTCGAGGGTGATGGTATCCTAGCCTGGCGAACAAAGAACCAGTCATGATGGGCTTTACCAACAGCCTGCGGTAAACGCTCCGTAGACGTCTCTGTCTCTCTCGTGGTTCTGCGCCGCCCGTGGCAACGGGAGTGGCGGCCGGGATTAACCTTAGATGATGGCGGGCTGTGTCTTGTCTGGCTACTATTCTCGACCGCGTGGAGGAAGAAGGGGGGAAGGGGGCTGTCGAGTGGATGCGGAAACGATGGCTTCGAGTGTGTGTAACGTATTGATGGGAAGTTCTGCGCTTGTTTGATGCTTGTGGATACGAAAGGAGAAGATGACGGGTTCATGGTGCGCTTCCGTCGTCTATCGTTGGTCGGAGCACGAAAGGATTGTTCTGTCTTCTGCTTTGGGCGTGGTCGGAAGTCGTTGGGGGCTGTTTGGGTGTTGGTGTTGTTGGCAAATGGTGTTTCTCTCCCACGCGGGCTTCACAGCCTCACCCGTGGGGCTCGACGCTCCGCCACTTGGAACGCTTTTTTACCACAAGATAGGAATAGGACAGAATAGACAGAATACGAAATAGAAACAAGTTTGACGGGAGGTTGAAATGACGTTTCGAATGCCTTGTTCCTGCAGACAAGCTGAAGAGAGTGCCCGTTTGACCGCTGAAGCGGCGCAGCTGCAGCTCCGGGAATGCTGTAGTTGCGGAAGAGGAGGATTGCAAAAAGTAGCAAAGGATTCTGCACCCCGACATCAGCTCCAATACTGCGGCCGAAATATTGGGGTGCAGAGAGAGACCTCAAAGGCCTCAACACGTGTGTGCTGGAGGGGCTGCTGGCGATGACCACTCGGGCACCCTAATACGCCCTCGCGATAGCTTCTGAAGTTGACCGCGAAAACTGTACACTTTTGGATTGCCCATGAAAATTTTCTTCTTGGCAGCGAGTTCTCCTTCGCCGATACCCGGAGTCGCCGGGGCAGCAAGGAGGGGGCTTTGCAGGCACTTGGCCGCCTTTTCGGGCCTCTGTTGTGGCCTCGTGGATTGACGACCAGTCAAAACAACGTGATCAATGAGCTATAAGGTAGAAGGCCAAATCGAAAGAGAATGCCTTGCGAGGCGTTATTCTCTACCAAGAACAACATCGCTCAAAATCCGTCACCAAACTGTGCCGACGTAACCATATTCGTTCAACGAGGGGTAGTATCCGTAGTGATGACCAGTTCAGTGCTGGGAGTGGGCCAGACTGGAAATTGACTCAACACCGCCCTGCCCACAACTCGAGATCGGATGAGAGAGAGAGAGCTTCCCCGGTAATGTACACTCGAGTTTCTTGTACAGATTAGAGTGCTGATTATCCCCACAGAGGCGTAGCGAGAGCGCGCACACCAGCAGCGGCTTTTGAAACGACCGGAGCAATCGTTACGGCCGTTGGTTGTAGCCTCGCAGTCAACGGCTCGGGTAGAGACATGATACCGGACAGCGATGAGCAGCATTGGGGGCTGAAATTAATTGCCGAAGGTTTCGAGATGGTATTCTCCCCCTCTTCGTATGCCCATCCTGCAGATGGATGAGGTCGTGTAGTGGTGGTGGCGGCTGCGCCTTTTGCGAATCTTTCAGACCATTGTCTGGTTCGACATTCCCACGCAACCACAAAGCTTGACCCTGGAAAGGGGGGCAGAAGGGATTCCTTTCTTTCCTCGGGGACCGTTTTGCCGCTGTTCCAGATGCGACATGGAGAAAGATGTTCTTACGGGCGCAACCGGCGGAGGGCCTAACGCCCACCTTTGTCCACACTTGACCACTCCTGGCAGCTCTTCCACAGAACCACCGCGGCTTCCAGTATGTCCACCCCCTCTCCTGAACGGCGAAGTCCCGGAGAATGTCAATCCATGACAACTGCAGAATCTCGTCACGCCGCGGACCGGTTGTGCCGTCCTTGATTCGCGGGAGCCGGGGAAGATGGTAACAGCAGGTTACCGTGTAAAGAGGACCACCATCACTGAAGATAGGTGGTTTGCCTCGTTTCTCCAATGGTTGACGAGCAGGCAGACACCACAAATACAAGGCGCCGCCCCCCAGGAAGTATTTGTGTGTATGGAAACCTCGCGTGGGTGTAGCAGGGCTTGCCTATGGGGATTTCAGATCAGCGTCCGACGGGGGGGGGGGGGGCGAGGCCGTCCGGCTACCCAGTTGTCAGTTACCATCGCTGCGCCTTTTTCCAGAATGAGTAACTGTGATTGCCTTCATTGAGCAGTTCTTCAGTGAGAATGAAGCTGCCCAAGGTCTAGGATCAAGTACGGATTTCCATGATACACGCTTCTAGCCACAAAGAGCTCATGCCCTGGAAGCCGAATGGACGCCCAAAAACCCAGCGTGGAGCGTACCCTATTCCGCATGTGGCCGGGAGAGACCTTGAAAGAGTGGAAGAAATCTCCTGGTGTATCTCCTTGTACCCTCGGGCTTTTCTCACGGTGCCCTAGGAATGACCAGCAAATCCTCGTCCAGGGGGGGTGTTAGACTTCGTTGATTGCAATGGATGGTGGAGTCTCGGGGCTGCACGGTGCAGCGATGGCAAGCGTCATCGAACCACTGCCCACTAGAAATCTCGGACGGAAAGCTCACATGGCGAGCGGCAAGATCGCTGTCAGTCTGAGCGTACTTCGGTGCCTCGGACGGACACCTCTGGTCAGGGTTCTCGAATCCATAGCATGGCTTGGCATGAAGATGGAGGTTGCCACGTCCAGACAGTTTGTCACCCCATCCAACCAAAGGAAATTCGTTTACTCTCGGCTGGTTTGATACTGTTTTACCGCCAGAATGTGTTGACTTGCTTGAAGACGGACCGAGACAATTTGCAGTACCAAAACCCTAGCAGACGATGCTTTGCGGTGGATACCTGTTTCCTGGCATATCCAGTAGGACGCTTGCCGGAGACCAGCTGCCTTCGCGACCCGAGAGACCGGAAGCGCTCAAAGTGCATGACAATGCGCAATGCAACGCAAACCAGAAATTCAGGCGAAGAAGAGGCAGTGTTGGCTTGATTTGGACCTAGGTTGTGAATATGGACGACCACAACCGCGTCAGGGACAGTTACAGACGCGACCAACGGCGTGATGAGGCAGTGACGACCAATGGGGGCGACGAACTATGCGACCTGGGCGCTAAGAGCGTAAAATTCCAGGGAATGGGGATACGGCCAGTTCCTCATTAGGCTGTTTGCGGCCGGTAAGGTTTTCCTTTGGAAAAGTCGACGACCCGAGAAGCGACCATGAGCAGGGAGAGTTGACCTCGGGCTTGCAGCCATGTCGCCTGCTTCTGATGTCGCACCTCGGGACTCATCAAGCGGTCGTTCCTACAACCGAATGGGAGATATCATGGTAACGACATGTCGAAGAGAGTGGGACTGAGAGGCTAAGGCGGCACAGCGGTCTCCTCGAACCTCAACGTGGCACGGGCTGGGGGGCTTAGAAAGGCCAAAGGATCAGACTGCACCTCAGCCTTCTGTTTCGGCATCTATCCATAGAACGGCGATCTGCAAGGTACCATCGGTCTGAGGAACGTGAGGAAGGGCCGGCACGCGAAGGCAGACGGCCTCAATCGTCTCTCCTCGAGGCAGAACGTACAGGTTCAGCTTGACTTGGCTCATCAAGGATGCGTCATGGCTTCCGGTACAGTACCCGCATCTGGAACCATGGGATCGAGGAAGGGAGCGGCCAGGAGCAACAAAGTTGGGGCACGTTTCTGCAGCAAGGCGCAGGTGGTGTGGAAGAATGCGTGTGATAGCAGGTAGCTACGAGGCAGCGGCGTGTGAAGTCTGGAAGAATGTGGGTGGGTGTGTGATATCGCGGTTAAAAAGTTGACAAAAGTTGCGTTCTGTCGACCTTGCGCTGTTGGGGATGAAGTCTGGCCGCTTGTTGGAAGTGAAAATGGTTTATCTGGGAGTCACTAGCGACACCATGAGTGGTTGGATGTGCTTAAGCTTCAATTCGAAAGAACAGACGCGCGCTAAGTCCGAAGAATGGGATCGGCTTCTGACCAGTGAGGTGTGCTCGTGGAAGTGGAGAAGGCACGGTAGGGGTAGGGTGAACAAGAAGGGAATCGACGGTAGGTATGGAGTACGTACCCAAAGTGAGAGGGGGAGATATGGGGGGAGGGGTGTGATGGGTAGTATAATTGTGGCCTCAGGCTTCAGACTTATCCCGGTAGCCCTGACGAAATGCCTCCGAGGCGAGCCAATGATAGCCTCTAATGAGGGTGGGCTCTATCTAGTTCTGACGCTAAAGTAGCGCGAACCAGTCTGTCGGGTCCGCGCTAGTACTGTGTAAGGATATCCCTGACGACCAAAGAGATGAGAACTGAGCGTATTGGCTCAGCGTCCGTTTTCCCCCTCCCTCTCTGCAGCAAAGTCGCGTTCCTCTCCTCTTGTTTCGCACCGGCGGCCATACGTGGCTATTGTTCTTTCCTGCTCAATCAAAAGGCATGGTCGAGGGTCTCAAAGTTGCATGCACCGTAGTCAATATCAGCCCATTCTTCCCTTGCCTTGTGGCAACTCACCCTTTTTTCGAACGAGCTTCAAGCCAGGCAGGGGGGAGGGCATGAACGCCGGCTGTGTGGGGGCAGGCATGGCATCAACCGGTTCTTCAGAAGTTCAGAGTCGAGTCTGTGATCGGGACCCCCCTCAATTCGGCTTCCATCCCCATAGTAAGACATGAACTGTACGAAGGTACGGGCGGGATACTCCGAGTATTCACAAAAGAAACCAGTGTCTGTGCCGGTCAGCCAGATTATGCGGCAACCCTCTCGTGGCACGAAATGGATCTCAGATCGTGGCGGGCGGCAGCTTATGCCTATGGACCCTCCAGATCGAACGGTTCCCGCCTCTTCCCGCTCGTGTGTCCAATCCTCTGTCGCCTTTATTGTGAAGTTGCTGGTCCCGTGTCCATCAAGCTTGTGGGGACTGCCCAGTTCAAAGCAGAGTACTCCGTATGCCATCACTGCCTTCACTATGCTAGCTTGGATAGGTGCGTATACCAGGGTGCATGGCCTGGCATTGTACGAAGCATGTATGCTTGCCTTGATCGACAGTGGCTTGATCGCATAATAATCGCCGTGGCCAAGGAATGGGAATAACATGGAGACTCAATGCCATGGTGGGAGGCGAGAGTCGAGGCAATGTGAAAGCTTTGTTCCACTAGCGCGTGTTTACCGATGCTGCAACAAGTTCTGCACGGGCAAGGGAAGCCCCCCTGACTCTTTTCTTTTTTCTAACGAGCCATGGCCTGACATGAGCATGTCTCTCTGGACGCTGGGAAGAGAAGAGCAAGGTAGTCCAGAAAGAAGGCAATTTCAACGACGAGTACCTAGTTCTCGGATAACAGTTTAAGCAATTCCATCCTGAAGGGCCCAGGTTCTTCCAGTGACTCCAGCCCACTCCAGTGCGGTCCAGTTCGGTGCCCACTCAAGCAATGTCCAAGACTCTAAGTTGACGGGACGTGTCCCGGTCACACCCAGCGACGGGGAGTAAAGGTCGACAAGCGAGGCCTACGAAAACTGAGCCCCCGCTTTGTCCGAGGAATTGCAGCCTCAAAACCCACACGCCCAAACATCAGAGGTCTATCTTAGGGATACCCCCCGCCACCCCTGTCTCTCGAAGATTCCCACCTGGTGGTGCTGGGGGCAGCTGGGCACTGGCCGTTCTGTTCCGCGACTCTTGGCGTAGGGCGGGCCTGAGGTGACCAGACCTTAGGGCAATGCAGATTTCGGCAACGGTACCCTTAGCTATCGTAAGGGTCCCGCCCACGAAACTGATAGCAAGTAGGCAAATGTGACAGACATGAGAGAGAGGAGAGCCACAGTGTAATGTACCTTGGGAAGTGTCGCCGGAAGAGATTCTAAGTTTCTGACCTATCACTGAGTCAAGGTTTTCACAAGTGGAAAAGGATTTGGTGGTAAAGACACATGTCAGCTCTTAGGCTCATTGACCGTGTGATGATTAAAATCAAGGCAACAATGCGCCGGTTAGGAAGAGTCAGTTATCTGAATGCTGAACTCCAGGAAACTGGACCTGCCTGGACTGGAGAAGGTGAAGGAGCGGACCCGGCTCAAGGACGGTACAGTTGACGCACGCAGACAGACGGGTAAGGTGGTAGGTAGGCAGGTACCTACTTACTTGGGTACGTATAGGTGCGGTACGTCGCATGTGTCGAATGGAAGGCAGGCACGCCGCACAGCAGGAAGTCAAGAAGGCAGAAAGGCCGCAGGGAGTCGGGACGGAAGGAAAGACTCACTCAGGACCTAGACGAGAATGGGAATAAGAAGCAGAATGAGAATTAGAATGAGAATGAGGCAGGCACACGCACGATACGTACCGCAAGATGAACGTCCCCACTTGCCTTTTCCTACCCCCGGCTTTCCCAGGTTGCCGACCCCGTTGCGGCCGCTCATGGAGCCAATCACACGGTTCATGCAATGACACCCGTGGACTCGGCCGTTGTCCTCTGTTGAGTCTCTTTGGCTCGACCCCCGAAGTACAGACAGAGTCCATGCTCACCTCACTCACACATCCTTTGCCTTCCCTCTCTTCCTCTTTCTCTCTTCACCAACCCCCGTTTTGAAGTCGACCCGGACCCGAAACGCCGACCAGGGACAGCTCCCGACATCGAGTGTAGCACATCCTCACGACTTCCTTATTTTTCTTCGTTGATTATTTTACTGTGCCCTTTTTCGCGAGTTTGATTACCGGGTCATTCCAGCTACCGTAAGCGGATGGTCATTGCATTACCTGAGCCCCGGAATTATGCTCCGACATTTTCAACCTCCACACTTGTTAAATAATTGAACTCTACATAATACGCCATCGCCTCTCTTTGACACATATCACTACACCTTACCGACTGGCACTCGCATTGCCATGCCTGCCATCGCCGGGAAATGGCTAACATTTCCAAGACTTCCTCAATGCTATACTCTGTCCGCATCTCTCTCCAATCGGATCGAGATGCACTAAGAGCAGGGAGTTCACCCACTAATATAGCGTCAAGATCGATTTGATTCCTCTTTTCTCGTCTATCAACTAATCCACCACGGGAGCAAACCCGTATCAGTCCCGTCCCGGGGCAACCCCGTTGTAATGGTCCACGTCAATCTTGGCATATCTGGGTCCTTTACGTGCGTAACTACGTGCGTAATGTGCAACTCGGACGCAGATTGATAGCTCCCAGACGTCACAATGTCACCCGTTCTACTACAGTCACCCACACTTCAATCCAAGTCTGTATTTCTCCCACACCAAACACAATACCCTTCCAGCATTTAGACTTGATAACATTGCTTTTCGACAACTCAACTCCGGTAAGTCCATCTCGGTTCTGCACTTTCCAAAGTACAGCGAGAGCCCTACCATCCACTGTAACCTCCGGCTGGCGGGGTTGTCCCAAGTAACTGGTCCTCGTACTGTGTATGGGGGAAGAAAGAGCCGAGTTATCCCACAACCCCAGCAGGAGTTAGCCTGTGCCCGTGTCGTTTCTTCTGCTACAGCTTCCGTGCTACACTACTTCCTTGATGCCGCCTTGTTGCCCAAGTCTGTCATCTCGGATACTGACTACCAGTACACAATGCCATCAAGGATCATGGCCTAGGTAGACAATGCTTTCCGCCCCCATCCGAGTACATTCATCATGGCTCAAGGGAATCAGAGCAGCGGAATCGAGGGGTTTTTTTTCTGTCACGCTGAATTAGACCCCATTGCCGATCCTAATCCCTGACATGCTCTGCCTTACAGCTAGAGAGAGAGAGAGAGAGAGAGAGAGAGAGAGAGAGAGAGAGAGAGAGAGAGGGAGAGAGAGAGAGAGAGAGGAAAAGAGAGAGAGAGAAAAGCTGTGTACCGTGCACCCGTACGATCTAAGATCCATCAGAGAAGGCAGCACATCTGGCGCAGGTCAACGCTCATCCCCCCCCTCCCTCCTTTGGGATTCTTCGCCCGCGAACGAGGAGCATCACATATCGAGCGTCTCCATCGCCAATGGACGTTTAATATATTCTAGACCCCATCTACCTACCTGTCCGCGCCATTCACGTAGGTAAAAATCAGCCCAATAACTTTGCTCCTTCTACTTTACGAAGTCCAGGCAGCTGAGTGAGAGGAAGATGCTGGTAGGCCTGGATGTCGAAGCACACAGGCTCCAGAAAACAAAGACGTATCAATGTCGGACGAGCCAGGCCATAGAAACAAGCGGTTGTCCTCTTCGCTCTGTACTGCGGCCGACTTATACCCTTCGCCACTCTCATTGGTACCTTCAAATCATCGAGAAGTGCAAGACTGGGTAGGTATGTATGCTCAGAGGCTCGGACTCACTATCAAGCTCTACTATGCTGAGCCTTGCTCTATCAGACGTTCTCTTCCCCACCCGTCCCACACCTGTCACCCATTTAGGCGCTGTAAGGCGGCCGCACGGAAAGAGACAGAGGTGAGACAGAGCAAACACACTCTACTGCGTACGGAGTACATTGGACGAGTTTCTGGGAGACTGGTAGACGTCCTGCTCCGGTGGGCTGTAACATCGCTACGGATACAGCCTACTGGGCTGGACTGGGCTGCATCTGCGAGTGTGACTGTCATGTCATTGGGACTGCTGCTGCTGCTCTGCTACTACTCTATCGTGTATGTAGGTATGTGTGAGGTGTGGTTCTTGCTGGCAATGGTAGCCTCTCAGAATCTTTCGCTCTATCCCCTGCTCTTTCTCTTTTACCCCCATCCATGGAGTTGTGGATACACACGCCCCATGCCCTTTTTTCTCTCTTTCCCTCGCTCTATCTGGTCTTTCCAGACACACGCCCCCCCCCCCCCCCCAAGCCCCAAGACAAGACCCCAAAGCTGCTCGGCCGACTGAATCGACCCGCATCTACAGAGTTGCACTACTGCGTACCCGTACATACCAGCCCCGGGCGGCTATCGTCTGCGAGGAACCACCCACACCCATGCCCCCGCATGCAAGTCTGTCTCTGTCTCTGGTTCTGCCTCTATCGTTGTCGCCGTCTCTTCTGTCTGCTGTACTGTGCTTGTCCTGCCTGTCCTGCCTAACCCCTCCTCCTGCTCATCCTCGTCTCCTGCTCTCTTGGTCTGTGTGCCGGCCCTACCTACACCTACCTTACCTTCCAGACTACAACGGCCTCATGTACCTCGTGTACACTATCCTTCCCCCTGTCCCTTTTCTCGAACCCTGGCGATGGTCCCCGCTGCTTTCTATCCTGGAGAGTGGCACTCGTTCAAATCGTCTCGACTGGCAGGCTCCCCTTGCGAAAAAATACAAACCTTTGGATCGGCACCATCGCTGTCCACTTTGCTCGTCATTAATAGGCCGCGGCCATCTCGTCCTCGCGAGGCTCTCTTCTCATCCATCCCACTTGACAAGTCCAATTACGGAGAGGCAGACTTCAGTGACTCTTTGAATTCTTTATTACTGTCCATCTCCCCCCTTCTTATCCTCCTATAAGACAAGACAAGCTTCACACAACCATAAACTATCAAAGCTCTTGCCCACATCCAACTCTTTGGAATATCCCCATTGCCACTTACACACCGTCCTCTACAACCTCAATACTTTCACTTTCACATTCCACACCTACCTCGATTGTCCACAACTCCTCCTGGTCATCCACTCGATCATGACGAGCCAGAACTACGTCGAACAAACCACTATGCATTCAGACGGAATATCAGACCCCATGCCCAGCAGGCGCACCTCAGTGGCACAGCCTCCTACCACAATCTACCCAGACCTCAGAAGCCCTCCATTTGCTGTAAGTCGACATATATATCCTTGAGTGGCTCCTCAGGCTTGTCTGACAGATACAAGGTCACAACTTTCAACCATCAGCCGCAACTCGGTGAATCCCACATGTTGACTCCAGTATCTGGTGGCGGCTCGCCCTGCATGCAACAAACAACAACTCTTCCCCAGTACCCATCAGCGATGGCTCCTATGCAGCCCCAGTCCAGTCCTTCCGGGTCCTCCAGGATGACTTGGCATAACACTGTTGCCATGAGTGCTCCTCAGAGCCAGGTTGGCTCTCCGATGGCCATGAACCCTCCCACAACCGAGAGTCATTTCGAGATGAACTACATCCAAGCAGAGCCTGAGCACGAACGCGAACCTCCTGAAGACTACTACTTTGGTAACTACACAGTTTCCGCGCAACCTCAATCGGACCAGGGCTCCATGTCCCCTCAGATGCCACCCCACGGCTACTACATGTCTCAACCTCAGCAGCAAATGATGCAGCCGCAGCCCATCATGGGCGAGCTGTCCATGGGACAAATTCCGCATCCTTCGCAAGCCCAGGCACAGTACTATGCCCAGCCGCCGACTCACACTTGGGTAGAGGACTCCGATATCACATCCTTCAAGTCTGAAGCCACCAGAAGACGTTACATGGGATACGCCCTTCCAAGCACACAGATACAACGCCCCGAGGTCGTTCGAGGACCTACCCGAGCCCGTCAAAACAACCAACAAGCAGCGGGCCGGTGCCAAAGATCTCCTCGCGTTAGAGGTCGAGGGGAACAGTCCGAGGCAGAATCATCTGAAGAGCCGACCGCCGATGACGAGATGGCGCATATTGACTCGCTCCCTGATGAATTCGTCGTCAAGCCGGAATGCCCTGAAGACGTCGCCTTCCTCTTCCATCGTCAAAGGGACATGATTCTCTCAGGTAACAAGGGCACCGGAATGTGGGAAGTCATTGCGGGTGAGCACAGAGAGAGGTTCGGGATGACAAGCTCTGCTGCACGTTTGCAAATGCAGGTGACCAGAGGAAGATCCAACTTTCTGGAGTGGTCACTCAGAGATGTAAGTCATCTTCATGGTGTTGGGATATTTTTGTGAGCAATATAACTAACAAAATACCAGAGACATAAACTCAAAATGGCGTTCGATCACGTCGATGCTTACTATTTCAAGATGGTCCATCGCAAGTTTAAGGAGCTCGGCGGCGGACAAACAACTGCATGGGGCGCAAGCGACGTTGAGTACCTGGCAGTCGAGCGTGGCATGGTAGATTCTGGCTACACAGCCGAGCCTACTACTCAGCCGGGGAAGTCGCGGAGAACAAAGAAGCAGAAAACCCGCCTGAGAAACCTCGCCACGAGCAGCGCTGTCCTGCTTGACGACACAGTCGACTTACAGCAGAACCCAGAGCAGCGACAACAGATACTCGATGAAATATATGAGTACCGCGGCGAGGATCCCGAAGACGGTGTCGACGAAGAACCCATATTCAAGACGGTGGCCAGAGCTCGCCCACGCGGCCGCCAAGTAGAGATCAAGATGGAGGAGGAGAGCCCCGAGGAAGAGACGGCATCCTCGTCCAGCAAGTCCAAGGGCAAGCAGCCTGCCAAGAAAAGAGCACCAGCAAAGCCTAGGGCCGTCAGAGCACGCATGGCACCCAAGCCCAAGTTGGCCTGAAGAATCGTCGAGGTTCAGACAAAATCTACGACGCACACATCAACACCACCTGTGATGGTGACCTTCACTTCTTCCGACGGTAGCCTCCTACGAGGTTGGCCCTAGCATGCTATCCCCAAGCCCAAGCGGCTGTGACGACGTATAGATTGTTCCTTGTCATTTTGCATTCTGTTTCCTTTTGTTTTGGTCTTGGATTTCTTGTTTTGGCTGAAAAGATACCACTCATTTCGTATGGTTTCTCATCCTGGGAGGGAAAGGGGGACGACAGGCGGCAAGGGCTCTTCTGCGTTCCGCATATCATTATCTCGCGTACCTTTAAATTTCACTGTCTATATTCATGTATGCCATTTGCAACAATTACTTAAAAACATACACTCATCAAATATCACCTTACATTGAACCCCTGTGCACACAAGGCCAACTACATCAGTCGCGAGCTTCCTTCGCCATCGTCGCGAATCTTCCATGTCGATGTCCTCAGCCATTACGAATAGGCTGCCTTGATACCTACCGATGCTATTACCCGACGACGCCGTCCAATCCGCCTGCCTGTCATGACACTGTGGGATGGGCCAAAACTCGCAACTCATCTATCTCCAGGCAGGATTTCCGAGTTCTCGGGACCAAGGCAGCATTCGCACTCGCCGACGCGCCCAATGTAACGAGACTACGCTCGGAGTCGTCTCATGACCATGGACTGGGGGAAGACAGCTCATCTACCCGTACTTTGGCCCATTCATGCCATCGTCATCAGGATACGCCAAGAGAAATAAAGCGACTTGTTCTCCTCTTCTACTGCTACACCACTGTCGAACAGCAATTACGACGACGTTGAGAGACGAGTTAGCACGCCTTGTTCGTCACATCAAACCCATGTTCATGCTTCATGTCGGGCTGGAGGGAGGGTCCCGCCGGGGGGGGGGGGGGCTAGCCCTCTTCAACGGGCGCCCCGTCCGTGCCCTCTCTTCCTCCTGCCCCCCTACTGCCCAGGAACGGGCGAAGGCGAGGGTGATTGGGCTGTGGGAAGGGTATGAACGACCCGGAGACCAGGAAAGGCAGACCAGATGGCATGGAGGGAGAGAAGAAAGATGTGCCCTGCGCTGCGGTTGCGGGTGTGGCTTTTCCTCAACGGCGGCGCGGGTGGTGGTGGTGGATACCCACACCGGCAAGAAAAGTACGCTATAAAAGCACCCGCTTCGAGTTCTCATACGATGAGCAGAGCGACTACCATCCACAGCCAGGCCGTGTCTGCGGCCCTTCTGGCCCGGATGCGACATGCTGCTTTTCCGCAGCCTGAGAAGTCGAAACTTTTACCCTTTTCAGACGGGATAGTGGATATCGGGTCCGTTCAGGGTCAAGGGGGGAAGGGGAGGGGACGGGGGGAGGGATGGATCGTAGCAAGAAAGTGTTTAAAAGAGGCCATCACTGGGGGGGGGGGGGGCTTGAGAGACTGAGAGTGAGAGAGGGGAGAAGGAAAGAGGATCACAGAGGGAGGTTCAACTGTCAGAGTCCCATAGCTTTTTTGCAGTAACCGCAAAGAGGCATTGCAAGGTTATGGGGGGATTTTAGTCGCACTGTCGCAGAGGGGGGCATACCTAGCGCGGTGCCTTTATGACAAGGGGACACAAGGCACGCCGCGCAGGGCCAGAAGAAAGAAAAAAAAGGGCAGGGACAAGCATGGCGGCGGCGGCGCGCGCCAGGCAAAAGAAGGGTGGCACGGGTGGGGGAAGATGGGAGACGAGAAGGAAATGAGAACCTCACTGAAGTATCCGTACCCTCTTTGATGTTTCCCCGGGGCATCATCCCCGTAGGCTACGGAGTAGGTACACTTTTCTGCCTGCCAGACTCCCAGTGCCTGCCTACCTGCCTGCGCGCGGCCTTGGTGATGGTCCGCTTTGGACCCTGATGTGTATCGAGTACGTACGGATAGAGGAGGAGGAGGAGACGGGGGCGGAGAGACGTCAGGACGACGATACTCTCTCCGTCTCTCTCCCTACGGAGTACACA